TTAACAGCAGTGGCAGGCTGGCTGCACTCAGGAAGGCAGGAACCGATCCTAGCCAGAAGAAAGCAAGGCCTTTGGCAGAGCCCTTCAGCATGTTTTTATAAACTTGAGCACAGAAAGAAACTGAAACATCTGGCACCAGGATATTATGCAATATTGTTTTATGTTATTTTCATTGTCTAAGATTCTTCATGAGGACCATTAATGAGTCGCTTATTGTTGTCAGATCGCTGTCCTGAGCTGCCTCCGTGCAAGTGAGGGGGCACAGACGTCTCTGCATCGCTCCCTTTGGTGTTCGGTGGCCACTTCCATGCCAGCCAGTTTCCCCTGAAATCTTTTGCGTGCAAGAACTGTGTGAAGCTGCTCCTTGAGCCTACACAGGTCAAACCTCTGCAGGCATGTGCAAGGTGGCGTGATCATCCTGGTGCTCAGAGAGGAGCTGAGGAGAAAATGAGTAGAAGTCATTAAAGAAGTTGGCACTGATTGGGAGACATTGGCATATCAGCTTTATAGCAGGTAGGAGCGTGGGGGGTAGGAGAGCCTGGGTCATGGGCACTGTTGGAGTCCTGTGATATGCAGAAACGGATGACTTTACTGTTCTTCTCCTCCCTGCCGAGCTGGGTTTGCTGCTGCTTTTCCCCATCCCCTGCTGTGTCAAGGCAGGAGCAGGAAGGCCACACTGTCTTGCATGCTCTGCATGGGTGTGATCTGAGGTACGGTTTCCCCTGGCTCTCACTTGTCAGCTGCCTTCAGCCCAAGAAAGTGTTACCCTCCCAGCACTCAGTGCTCACTTCTCTTCCTGCTCCTACTGAGTGGCCCTGGGGCCTTGTCTTTGAAGGTGAAACCTTCCTTTTCTCCATCGCATGGCCAGGGGCTGCAGCTTTGCTTCTCCTTTTAATTCTCTGGCTGGCTTTAATAAAGGTGTGATGGTCACAGGCCTGGAGGTGGCTCTTATCTCAGCTTCCACTGCCAGCTTTCACCCCTCGTTCCCCACCTTTTTCTTGCACTCATAATTGTCTGAATCTTGCCTGACTGCTTGTCTGTTCTCTTAGGCTAAAAACTGTCTGGTCCTGGTAAGTTATCTGGCTGAGAAAGCTGCTCATTCTTTTGGATTCATTCATGTTGCTAACAGCTAACTCCATGTACCAAAGCCACAGCCATGCACCCAGAGTCCTAGGGCTGTGCCTTGGGCGGTGTAGTGGAAGGAGACTGGCTGCCCCATGGAGGAAAACTCACGGCTGGTGCATCAGAGCTCTCCTACCCCTGAAGCTGCCATGCACTGTGGCCTTCATCTGAGATGCGCAGCCATGCTCACCTCCTCGGATTCGGTATCTGGCTTCCTGTGAAGTCCCTGCCTGGTGCAGGGAAGAGAGCATAAGGGAAGGTAACTCACCTTCACAAACCTGTCCCCTCTCACCCACTCCCTAATAAACACCTAAAGTCCAAGTCAAAGGAAGCTTGGAGTCCACAAGGGATGCCCTTGAGGGTTTGCACTACTCCCCTCTCTTTCACTCTCTCTCTCTCCCTTGCATATACCCATCATTGTAAAACATCTTCCTCCTACCATTACAGCTTAATGACTTTCCCTTCAACTTCACAAGAGGTATTAATGTCTCCATTAACAGCCAACAGAAATGGAAGCTCCATATATCACGACTGCCTCTCTGTGTCCTTCTCCTCATACAGAAGTTTCAGAAGCAGTTAAAATGTAGCCCTGTGGAAAATTAATGGCCCAATATACAAAATCTGTAATTGCTGCTAGAGGCGAGGAGGAGGAGGAGGTGGAAGTACTCAATCTTCGTGTTAATTAAGTACCTTGTTCTGTGGCTGCTTCTCCCCCATGCTGAGTGGTTGTAGGACTCGTGCTTCACACCCGAGGGATGGTGGGAGGCAAATGGTCCCTACTTAGTGTCATTTGCCCAACAGAGTAAAACATCAGCAGAGGTGCTGGTGTGTGGCTCCTCTTCCCACAGCACAGGCTTGAAGACTAAGGTTGCATGGAAGGGTAGCAGGGTAGGGAGCTTTCTGGGAAGCTAAGGCTTCCCGGAAAGATGTTGCTTAGAATATTCCCTCCTGCCACTGCAGTTTAAGCAATGGAAAAGCCAGGTGGTGGGGTGGATCAGCCCAGTCTGCTCTGTCCATCCATTTCTAGTCGGGTGGCTCCAGCTTGTGTTGCCTTATGGGGGACATCTGTGGTGACCAGCGGTGCCTAATAGCTTGGTCCTTCTGGAGACAGCCCCATAAAGCCAGGGGGGCTGGTCCTGGGTGGGGCAAAGTGGGAGGTTAGGACATTCGGAGCCTGCTCTGATTTTTCTCAGCCCTTTTTCTGAGACGATGGTGCAGTTACTCTTGTAAAGCCCTGGGGGAAGATGCATCTGCATGGCTGCTGGTCTGGTCTGCCTTTACAGCTGGTACCAGTTGGCTTTAAACTGAATTAGTCGCCTGTAGGCATTGAGTGTTTTGAAAGTGCTTGTATGGGTTTATAACAAAATAAAGCTGATTTAGCCTAATTTGTTGTCAGGGGTTCTAGGGCTTGTGGTCTAAATTCAGTTAAATCAGACCAGTGTGTGCAGAGCGGGCTGGGAGGTAGTGTGGGCATTGAAATGAACCTGGGAGCACCAGTAGCTCCCAGTTAAGGCCTGAGAAGGAGAGGAGGGGAAACCTCAGCAGCTGCAGGCAGGGTCATCGCTGGTGCTGGGC